CTATTTTCTCTATTTTCTGCTTGAGTCATTGTGTAATCTGTTTATTCAAGGATGGAGAGGCTTGGCCTCCTACTCCAGACTTGTTCCCATTGAAATCAGTTATAAATTTCCCATTGATTAGAGTAGTGCAGGGTGTGACTCATAAGAGGGTGAACCAGTGTTGGACAGATTACTGAGCCTGGTTTGAGAAATCATCATTTTCATGCCAGTGGTCTTTCCCTTTGATGAAAATAGGTTATTACTTCTAGGTGAGCAATATGGTTTTATGAGAGAACATCTAATACCATTTTTTTTTGTCATCAGTGTTTATTCCCAACTTTCTTAGTGTGCCAACTGGCAATATCCACCTTATTCTAATTTTGTATAGTGTGCTATTATTGCATATGTAGGTCTCACTTGTTTAATTATCTCCATCTTGTAAATAAAGTGTTGGCTTCCTTACCAGTCACTAGTGGCTTTCTTGTGCTGAGTTAGAAAGGTATACCATTGATTTTTTTTTTTAGTGTGTTATTTACTGTTCCTTTGTTTCTGAATATATTTATACTACATTGTTGTAAACTTTTTTAAAATGCAGTCATCATAAGGAAAATAGTTACTGAAAAAAATATTGCCAATGATTTAAAAAGGTCGAACTTCTGGCCAAAGCAAGACCTTTAGCACCCAAAAGGGGGAAAGCATTTGAATTAGAAAGTAGGGGTCCGTATTCGATTCAGATTCGGCCTGAATTGGGGACAGTGATTCAATTCATTGATTTGGATCACTGTCCCTGATTTGATTCAGCCGAATCCGAATCTGAAGATTCGATGCTGATTCGGAGAACCAGTGATTCAGCCATAGACACAGCTTTAAATGTTTTTTCTACAGACCTCAAGGTACCAGGTGCAGCTCATGAATGCTGCAATGCTGGGGTGGATGGAGCGTCCCACAGTAGCGTGGGGGGGGCCCCACATGCTCCCTGGCGGATCTGGAAGTGGACTGGAAGTGCTTCTGGTCCACTTCCAGGTCTGCTGCCAAGCATGCCAGGGAGCCCCCTGCGCTCCGGTGGGATGCGCCATCCGCCCCAGCATCACAGCATTGATGAGCTGCCTGGTACCTTGATGTATGTAGAAAAAACATTTAAAGCTGTCTCTATGTCCGAATTTTTCCGAAACTGTCCAAATTGATTCAGAGGGTTCCGATTCGATTCAGAGAGATTAGAGGGTCTCCTGATTTGATTTAGATTTGGAGATTTGGCCACTGAATCGGGCCGAATCGAATCGGGGACCGAAGCTTTGCACAGCCCTACTATAAAGAGGAATATCTGTGAAACCCACTTACACATGAACATTTGGAAAGTATTTCCTCAAGGTTGTACAAGTAGCAATGGGAACAAACTTCAAGAGTTTCCAGCTGTGAAGGTTCTAAAATTATTTTGTAATTAATATTTGATTGCTTCAAGTCCAGTTAAAAAGCTCTAAAAAGTGTCCTTTAGCTTTATGGGTGCCATTGTGGCAAGATCAAGCATTAAAAGACTATTAGGAAATAGATTTTTGATTTGCATGTAGATTGCATGCTGAAAACCTTTAAGAAGCCCTACAGTCCATTCAGAGGTAAAAATGAGAGAAATTTGAAGTAGTTAAGAGTAACCACACTTGCCACCAAGATAAATACCTTAAAGAGTGTTTAAATAGATTAAATTGGGAGAGAAGTGATGCTTTCTAATGACATTAGAAAATGAAGTATGGATGGAGCACGCAATGTAGATAGTTATTTATTAAACTGTCACATTTGGAGCACATTACATAGGGAGCTGGCTGTCTATACCTGTCTGGTAACTTCCAGGTGAAGTTTTAAGATGCTGATTTGGCTTATGTGGAGCTCATGAGTACCCATATCCATTGAGTTATTGCAGGGGTAAAAGAAAAAAATATAACAAGCAAAGTGGGAGTGTGTGTGAGGACAGTAGAGAAGGAACAGCCTTCTCCTTTCTTTCTGCTGCTGTTATATCTTCCCTACCTCATCCAGGTCTTTTTACCCACATGATGCACAGCTTTTCAGACCTCCTCAGATGATATACTTGAAGACCCCCTTTGAATTAGTCACCCTGAGGCAGTGCAAGTTGTTTTCAATCCTATAAATTTCAGCCTTTTATCCAATCTACTTCTGAACACTTTGGTGGTGGGGCCTCTGCGGCTGGCATGGGGGGAAAAAAGCCCCTCATCTTATAATCGTATACAAGGAAATCTCACTAAATACATTGTCATTAAACTGCTGCCAAAAGTAGCACGTACTCAGAGCAGTGGAAAACAACTATGAAGTTGATTACATGCAGCCTACATTGAGCATGACTGTAAAGCATGTGGCCCACATTGAGCAAACATGCTGATTTTAATTTCATGTCTCAGGTCAAATCAGCCACGTCAGTTCCAAATTCTATTGACTGAGCAGAGCTCAATTGTTCAAGTCTGTGTGGATCTACCACCGGCAAGTATCCTCCCTCCCAGACTTTCAACTTGGGGCTTCAGATGCTCCCAAATCAATGGCAGACATCCTACATGTAAGCCCCAACCCATAGGTCTTGGAGTTCAGATGCCCCCTAGTCTCACTAACCAAAAGGCTATAGGAACAAGGTAGAAGGAGAGCCCAAGACCAATTCCCCATTGCCATAATTGTGTTGCCATGGGCAAACATGCAAAAATATTTAGTTCTATATATATTATACTTATTACACTTATACACTACTTTCAAGCTTTGAGCTGCCAAGTGAACCAGAAGGGCCACTTGGCAGAGTGTTGGAGGTGGACAATTTTTATATATATATATATATATATATAAAAATTGTCCAAATCCAACACTCTGCCAAGTGGCCCTTCTGGTTCACTTGGCAGTTCAAAGCACACCAAAAACCTGTTACACAGTTTGCACCATGCAACTGCATGCCCACACACCGATCTCTATACCTATACCCCCACCCACTACCTTCCTCAGAGGGTCTACTGAAAAAGTCTATGCCAGACCCCTCTCCACCAGATGAGGTCTGACATTTCTTTACCATCGTCCTCTTCTGTCTTCCTGTAGTACCAGGTGATGGGAACCTAGGATAGGTTAGTGTAGCCCATCTGAATAAGACATTAACTGTAGTCCCCCTCACCACTGACTCTTGAAAGTAGTGTATAAGAAGTATACGTTCACTGGAAGTATAAGTGTATACTTCTTATACACGTTGCATATGTTATAACTTCCTCTTCACTCCCACAGCTGAGATCAGCCTTTCTTTCCCATTTCCAATGATTCCTGTTTCTTCAGCAGCCTTAAGTGTCATGAAACGGGGCCCCAAACAGTTCACCCAGAATCCCTCTGTCACTCCCTCTCTCAGCATGGCACATATGATTACTGTGGCTCTGCCCACTATGAGGTGAAGCCGGACTAGGTTGCGTTGCACCTCATCTGCAAAAAAGTTTTTGGAGCATCCCAGGACTTGTGATAAGAACACCCAGGTCCACTCATGAGTGGGGGAGCTAATTAGTAGGGCTGTGCAAAGCTTTGGTGCTGATTCAATTTGGAGGAGATTTGGCCTGATTCAGCAGCCAAATCTCTGAATCTGAATCAAATCGGGAGACCAATAAAAAGGTCTGAATCAATTCAAAGCTCTCCAAATTGATTTAGGCAGTCCCCTTTTGCCGCCACAGGGAGCTGGACCCAGACTTCATGCCAGTAAGTAGGAGGTGCGGGGGCTGGAGGAGTGGGGAGGGGACACCTGCCAGGCCCCATTCCCTGCCTGCTCCACCAGCCCCCCTGAGCGCACCCCCTGACCCCTGCCCGCTCTCCCAGCCCCATCAATGGCTGCCCCAGCATCCTGGGGCTTTAAAAAAAGGAAGATAAAAGCCTCACGCTCACCAGCTGCTGCAGTGACTATCAGGGCTTCTGGGGTCTTGTGGCAGAGCCCCCCATGCAACACGGGAGTAGTGGGAGGCAGCTAGTGAGTGCAAGGCTTTTTTAAAACCTGGGACGCTGGGGCTGAGCAGGGCAGCCATTGACGGGGCTGGGAGAGCAGGTGGGAGATGGAGCCTGTTTGATTCAGAGATTCGTCTGATTCAGCAGTAGCCAAATCTCTGAATCAGATTCAGCCGAATTGATTTGGGACCGATTCAAATCACCAAATCAAATCACTGCCCTCCGAATCGGCCAAATCCGAAGCAAATACTAGCTGCTTTGCACAGGCCTGCTAATTAGCATGTGACTCCGTTGTGGGGAGTATCTGCAGTACACCTACATGCTGAGTTCTGGGGAGCAACATGGCTTGAAATGCTGTTGCCTCTGGGGCGGGGCCAGCCCACTGAATTATGTGGTAAATCATGAGCCTTTGGCTTTGGACTAATATCAAGCATAGTTTGTACTATATATAAGTACGTGCCAAAGTACATTCATGGAGTACCTGTGTTAGAACTTGCAGCATTTTGAAAAAACATAAAATGCATCCATCCTGGATGAGCTGTCTATGGGTACTAAATGTAAATTATTACATCCATGTTTAATTTCAAAGTTATTGTTTTCAAATTTGCTCCTCACTTTCATGTGCTTAGGAAGAGCAGGGTCTGTGACAGTAAGGAGATGGGGAAGGAGCTGCTGCAGGAAAAAGCTGGGGGGGGGAGGCAGAGATCAAAGGGCCTATCTGACCTTCCCCTCCCCTCCCCCGATGTATTTTCCCTGCTGTGGCAGTGGGAGGACAACAAATTCAAGGCAAATTTCTAATAATTAGATTCAATACTTATAACCAATGCATATGTTTTCCATATACAGAATCTAATTATTGGAGGGGTTGTCTTATAATCAGGTTCATCTTCTATTTGAGTAAATGCAGTATTCTGTTATTGTCACAGTAAAGTAGCAGGGTGTTTGTGGAGGCCTTAGATGTATAGGGTTCAGTCGGATCTTCATTAGGTAGGACTTTTGGTAAGTGTCCTCTGGTCCTCTTATGTGAAGTAATGTTATGTACTCTTAGCCTGCTTCTTCAACCTATTACTTTGACAGATGTGTATGCATGGACACAGTTCTCAATTCCAGCATCTCTTCATGCAAATCAACTCTGTTGTCCCAGTATTAGCGGAAAGCAAGCACAGCCAAAGCCATATTGTGCTAGGTCTGAGTGAATGCTTAAGTGTGTGGGCCTTATGCTGAAGAATTCACTCCGTTCTGCTTCAGCCTCCCCAGCATTGCAGTGAAACTCTACAGGGAGGTGATGGCAGAAGATGCATAGCTAAACCATCTGGAAAGCTTTGGAAACTTAAGGAATGAAATATGTTCTGTGTCTTATTAAAACAAAGGGCTGACACTGAGTTGTTTGGTGTAAAATTACACACACATTTAAAGACTTTCATAGACTTCTGAAAGGAAGCGGAATGTCTCCATTTAATTGCAATCTCCCAACAATTTTTGGTCAATACAACTGCTTCTTAAACATATCATCAATCTTAGGCTCAGGATTTTAATTACAATAAAGCATTTCACATGAAAACACTTTAAGCAACATAACATGCTTAGTATGTCTTTGACAAAAATATCCTCCAAATACCTGTACAGAATTAATGTTTGATACAACAAAGCTTCTGGAACAAGATCTAACTTTTAAAAAATAAATACACACGAATTTCTTTTCAGCTCTGACTAATGGTTAATTTTAGTAACGTGTTTGTCCCTTAAATTTTAGGGGTAAATAATGCTCAGGGGGCATCTGACTATAGGGCAGGGGTGGGCAATTATTTTGGGTGGAGGGTTGCTTACTGAGTTTCAGCAAGCAAATCGAGGGCCACATGACGGGCAGTCAGGGCAAGAGAAATATTAATTTTCTAAATTGTTTAGGGGCCCTGCGGGTTGGATAGAATGGCCTGGCGGGCTGCATCCACCCCACAGGCCACATTTTGCCCACCCCTGCTATAGGGCATGGGTATGTATGACCTTTATTTTTTGTAAGGAAGATTCTCTTTCATTTGTTTTGTGTGTCTGACAGAAGATCAGATTATAGTTGTAAGCTTCTATTTACTCATTTGAAGTAAAATGATAAAATGTTACATGACAATACCTGTTGTATATCAGTGATGTTTTAACTAAAACGATTATTAAGAAAATTAACCAGGATTTGAAAGTCTTAGGCCCTGATCCCAAAAAACACAAATGCAAGTGCTTATTTTTTACTCCTATGAGAAGTCCCATTGACTTTTACTGGACTACTCAAGTGAGTAATATTAAGTACGTGTGTAAAAGTGCACAGGAATTGGGCCTTAGCACTTAGATTGGAACAACTGTGTTCTACAGATAAACTTTCACAGCACATAAATAAAATCTGGCTTTTTAGTATGTACATACATAGGAAAAGAATATTTTAAACTAAAAAGTGTGCTCTCTTTTCTCCCCTAATAGCACAAATGTTCCCATTTTTAACTCAAAGTTTTTATTTTCTCCCATCTGGAAAAGTTGTTCTCTAACAGCCTGTGAATTTGTATATAAAACAAACCTAATGCAAAGTCTTTTCATTAGCAGGCAATATTGGGAGGAAAAGAAGTCTAGCAACTTTATATATACCTTGTATTAATAATAAACCTTCTCACAGAGAAGAATAGACTTTTAAATATTCTCGATCATGATATATACAGCAATAAAAATTCACATTTTCACACTTTAGTGAGACGCTTTAAAATCCTCAGCAAGGCAGTTGTCATAGTTTCTCTTCCCAGTTCCCAGTAATTGCCCCACCTTTAGTTCTAGTACCAGAACTGTAAACCCTTAAAGAGTTGAATGGAAGAGAAAATACATTTCCACCAGATTTGGATTAAAACAGCGATGGTTCTTTCTAGCTCTAGAGTCCCAGCAGCAATCCTGTGTCAGAGCAAGGCAAGACGAGGCAATTTATATTTCCAAACCCATTATGTTTTATAATACCACGGTCTGATTGCAACAACTGTTCCTATGTGTAATCCTCAGTAGTCTGGAAGAATTGTACCCATCACATGGCAAGAGAAAAATAGCCCTTCAGAGCATAGCTGAACCCCTCATGCCTTCAGTAGGTAGCATGCCTATGTATTGCACCAGTTTTTTCCAAAGTACCTGGAAGGATCTTTCTCCGTTTCCATTCATTACTATATACACTTCTCTGATAAGTTCAATGTTTCAGTGGGGAACGTGACCTGGAGAGAGCTGCCCTTGGATGCAGCGCTGGCCCCTGCACCAGACTTGACTAAAAAGACACTCTCGGAGTCCTGCCCCTGAGAAGAATCTGAGGTCTCTGAGCTACGTAATGTCCTCACTGATGTAGTGTCACACTGAGCCAGACTAGTGTTTGCCCCTGGCAGTAGCACACGTCCTGCAACATTGCTTTCATTTAGCTCTGGAGGATAGAGTAGCGTCTGTGAGGTGCTACTGATCTCTCTCAGCTCTCGGGAGATGAAGGAGGGCGAGTGGGTGGACACAGCAGAGGAAGCTCTGCGGCCATCTACGCAGTTGAAATTGCTCCCAGAGTGCTGCCTCCGAGCCCCTCCAATACGACAGAAGAGGCATTTGATCTTCTCTATGGCTTTGCTGAGCACCGTCTTGCGCAGGAGGATGTAGACCCAAGGATCCAGGATGGGGTTCACTGCGGCAATACGGATGGCCTGCAGGTCAGGATTTTGCTTGACATCCTTCACCAGCAGAGGCTGGTACAGCTGGTTCACAAAGATTCGTACCTACCAAGCAGGAGGGGGGAAAAAATAAGTCAGAGTTGATATTTCCAAGCAGAGCTTCGTAGCTACATGTTACAGCAAGAGCTGGCAAAGCCCAGCTTCTCATTATCAGCAACAAGTTTATTTTTGAAAAGGGGGGGAAAAAAGACAAAACAAGGAACAAACTCTGTAAATCACTTTGTCTTCTTGCACAGAAGAAGTTCTCCATTTCCCTCATGGTTTTACCTGGACTCCTAAAATAGTCTGATATTCATGAGCCTTTCTGTTTGATTCCTGCAGGGTTTTAAACTTCCAGTCCTGGGTGGTGGCTTTTCTTTCTCTCTAGTTTGTAGGAGTTAGACTTCAACATTTGTTCACCCAAATCTTTCACTGCCTGCCAGGGATGTGGAAGGAGCCTGAATCAATTGAGGAGACCTGTCCAACCTTTGCAGTTTTCCTCCAGCAAACCTAATAATTGTATGTTTAAAAAAAACTAAAGCAAGATGACAAGCTAACAAGCAAACTGGTCTCTAGAAACAAGCCCAGAGCTGTCTGTTCCTTAGTTTAGAAATAAATGTGTTGGCACCTTCTATTGTTGGAGTTTCAAGGTAACATGTTAATATTCTCATCATTGTGCTTGTTGAAGCTTGTTTAAAAGAAAAAGACCAGCTGCCTCTTAACTACGAGATTTTTTTTATATTGATTAGCCTGATGCCAGCACTGGACTAGGCTGCCTGCAACTTCTTCCCACCTGTGTCTGTTTATAGGGCATAAAAACTATTACTGATGTTTGTTTAAATAGTATTTCTAAATTAATTACAAGTGTATTGAGCATTTACTAACCTGGTTGGGATCTCATTTATCCAAGGTATTTAATTGTTCAGGGTCCTTTCTTTTACAACCAGAAAAAACACCATCACAGCTCCATCTACTTAGAGCCAAATTCTATAAACACTGCTGTCAAGTCCAATGACCATTGATGTCTCTCCATGGACTTTAATAAGCACAGCATCTGATAAAGGGTCTTTTACGTTACACAGTTCTAAACAGTATCTTTAATTTAGGATCAAGATTTGAAATGGCATAAAATGTATCCCAGGATTAAGAAAGTCACTGGACAGCCTTCCTCATGGAAAACACTACCTGCTTCTGTGAGGTAAGTTTAGACAAATCATTAACCTCTTCTTTATACAATATGCTAAATATCTAGTACCAAGAATTGTTAAAATCTCTTCTTTGCCTTGGCTCCTAAAGTCTTTTGTCTACTGAGGTTTTGCTCAACTGGTAAATGGCTTCAGACAAGTGGGCAGACTAAGGTTTAATCTAACTGAAGCTGAATAAGCAAACCTCTTAAGGCATTTTTACTGAGAGAGAGAGTTTGAGCCAGTCCAAGTCTGGTGAAAAATGTCACAATACTTTTTCAAAAAAATAAAAAAAAGAGAGAGATTTCTGCAATATGGTAATGGGGAATCTGAATCTATTCTTCCTGCATAAGCATTCAGGGCTTTAATCTACTCCCAGGTAACTTTAAACAGAGCATTTTTTTAAATGAGGCAGGTATCTCAGTTCAATGTTTTTGTCAGTGACAGTTGGGGAGTATGTAACTGGTTCCTTGCTGTCCCAGTCATGCTGCACAAGTCATTCTTCCATGCTCCCTCTGAGCAGTAATGCACCTTCCAGTAGAATAGTTTTTCATGTAATCTGTGTTGGAGAGCATGTCCTTTCACATGCTTAAGACTGGATAATTAATAGCTTAGTGGTATTAGTATCATCAAACTGACTAAAACTTGAAAGAATATCTTTATAAATGGTACTTCAGATCAATTTGCTAACATGACAACTTACAGTGGTTTCTACATTTACTACAGAAGTAGTGGAAAGTGTTTCGCTACAGCGCTAAAAGCACGTAGGGTTCAAACTGTAGTAAGTTTTTTACAATTACTCCATTAAGACAAACTGTACATTTGCTTACAGTGAAATCTGAATAACCTCAAGTCAATTTTTGGAGGCCCAAAAAAGTAGTCTCAACCTGTGGCTGCCCTCAGTGCAGTTGTAGCTGGTTGCTCAGGCAGAGGTATAGGTAGCTAGCCGTGATGCCACTTGCATCATTCCTTTGCGTGACCTTAGTGACAGAAACCGCCATGCTAAGGCACGCTAGTCCTATGGCTTGCTTGGATCAGCAAGGCCTCTCACTTTTCTGAGATTAGGACCTAAATTAATGTTTTTGTCATTTGAAGGGTCCCCTTATGTTGATGATTGGAACTTTCATCAAACCTGGCACCTTCAATCAGACATTTTATACATTTTAAAGTATTAAAATGCATTTCCTCTATAGTAATACTGCACTGAACTTGTATCAAACCATTAGAAGTAATCCCACTATATAACTTGTCTGTCAATTCTGGTGGAGACAAGGTTCTTTGGGTGAATCTGATATCTTTTATTAGACCAACTAAATAGTTGGAGAACAATTTTTAAGCAAGCTTTCAAATTCAAAAATCCTTCCTCAGGCTAAGGAAGTTTCAGCAGTTGATGCATGCTCTTCCTGGATGGACAGCCTACACCCCTGTAATTTTGGTGGAGAAAACTTTTACCACTAGATGGCAAAGTTGTCACACATGTACAGTCTGTTCTCCCCGTTTATAATTGGAGGCAACCTGGAGATCTGTTAGCCACTACAGGATTTGCTTTTATAGGCCAAGATACCAGGAAAAAAGATCTTAGCCAATTTAAAAGTCCTTAAACAATGCCAGGAGCAAACCATGCAGGCAGCAAAGAACTGTTACGTGTAACTCACGCACCTCCGCAAATGAACCTTAGCGCACTGATAAAGGAGGAGTGTCTGAGAAGTGGCAGTCCGGGCTCCAAAAAACAACAGGTTGAAAGGCCAGTGTTTTAAAATAAAAACTGAAATCTCACGAACAAACTTCAAATCACTAGAGTGAATTTAATCTGGGCCTTAGTTTTTAGTGTTTAAAGTTTTCCTCCTCCCAGGAGATTTTCTATACGCTAAAGGATTATCTTCCACTGGAAACGCATTCCAAATAGTCTATAAATGTTTAAATATCTTTCTGGACACATACCATTTAATCCTTTCTAAGGGACAGATATCTGCACTGACAGCTAGGAATCTACACGCTAGTTTATTGTAGGCAGAAGCAAAGGTTTATTTCCCAGTTAACCCACCCAACAGTATTAAGTTTAAACATGGCCATGACTATTTCAGATGGGCAAGAATAGTATTACTGATAAATTCAACTGGCTCTGTGATCACCTACAAACTTTTAGAATGTATTTGCCAACCCAGGCAGAAGAAATCCATCCATCTCCAATTTTTTAAAGGTTGACTTTTTTTTTTTTTAATATCCCTGTATTTTTGTATTGAAGGCTTAACAATGGAATTGGTTCAAAGGTAAAGTTTTATTATTGACTATCAGCCCCTGCAATACATGCACTTCACAAGCATGTGCCTTTGTTGGCCTGGGAGAGCTTATTGTAACGTGAGCGTGTATTACATGACTGATTAAAACCCATGACTAGATTTTAAGCATGGACAGTTGCACTGCACCCAACTACCTTACGTTGTATATTCCATTGAGAGTTGTATGGTAGGTATGTTTCAGCCTATTTAATGAAAGCTTTAGACTGGACACAGCTGTTAACACATACCCAGGAAGGCTACACTTTATATTCTCTCACAAAATAACTCAGTATCAAAAGTAATTTATGTGCCAAAGCCTACTTCATGCATCATTTATTAATCACAAGTTTGATTAAAAAGAAATCTGCATGGGGCCACCAGTTCAGTCAGTTCTTATGCAGCTGAAATAACATTTGTTTACAGCATCATTTATAGGACAATAGGGAAGTACTCAGGATGATTAAAGGAGTGATGAAGGAAAACCTGTCTTGCCTCTAAGTGAATGACCAGTCAATGGCAAATGGCTGAAAGTTTTGAGACTTTAAGTTTTCCACTCCAAAGTTCTCATTAAAGCAAGAAGCAAACTGGGACTAATCAAACTTGACAGAATGGGTTTGTACTTGTGCCTACAGTAGGAAGGGGGGACTGTAAGGTTGTAAGATCAAGCAAATGCATGATCATCACAGCTTCTGTTGGCTGCTTTTCCTTCTGACTAAATGTAAATATAAATGGCAATTTCTACCCATCTGAAATATTGAGTATCTTTATAATATAGTTATCACACAGAATAAACAAAGGAGTAGCCTTTTACATAGTTTTCACCTGTCCCCATAAAATCTTCCCCTTATTAAATATACATATGCTACATACAGGCAACTATTCTAGTGTAAGCAGGAAATAAATTCTTTAGCTGGATAAGCCAAATAGCTTTTCAGTTCCCTCTCCCCCAGGGACTAGGTGTTTGCCAGCGCAAGTCACGTTATTGCTCAAAAATCTCACCTGCCATCTTGCCTCTGATGGCAAATAGTCTCCAGTTCCTCAGAGAGAAAAAGCCCCAAACAGTCTAAATTTGCAGGGACAATTTTAATTAAAGTGTAAAACCCCTGAAGATGATCAAATGTCACATAAGAGTTTCTTTTCCTTATTTAGAATGCTAGGATAATTGTTAGACATCATAAAATGATGCTGCCAAATTTTTAAAAGGGCATTGGTATTTAATTACCTGGAGCAGTGAAACGTGGTGAAAACTATCAAATATCTGGGAGAGGGGGGAGGGGGGGAGGAGTATAGTTATCACAATGCTCTTGCAATCTCTAACATGCCTTTTTTCCAGACCTTTTCACAGATACTACTTTCAGGGTCCTTGCAGTCTTTCTTAAGGTATGGCATCCAGGGAAATGTTACATCTTACTTCCTAGCCTTTCTTTTTAAACCTCCTTGATCAGACTTTTTCGCACACTATCTACAATGACTTCCTTTCACCAGTAGTGTATAACGAAACACAAAGCGCTTTATTAATCTGTTGTTGAAATGCACAGTAAATAGCCTGGCAGTATCTTGAGGAAACACAAAGTTTCTGTGTAATAGCTGAACTATCCCACAAGTTCAGAGCACATCGGTTTAGATTATTTTCTCTAATGTGCATATCCTATACTGTTATTCAGATTTTACCCGCATTTGTGCTCTTCAATTTCTTTGAGTCCAATCTAGAGTTTAGTGTCATCTTAAATGTCCATTTATCGCTATAGTTGCCTGAATCATTATAAATATCTATCTCTGTACTGAGTTCTGGAGCACTCCATTATTAACTTGTATTATCTTTTTTTTAAAATGAAGATCAGACTTTGCTATGGTTATTTAACTTCTTTAAAATTAAAAAAAAACAACCTTTTGTAAGGCCAGATAAATAAAGTCTCCTGGCTCAACTCTGTCTAGTTTGTGAAAAAACTTACTATGAAAATGTTAAAAGGGATGCCTTCTTTCAGAAGCTCCATTACTTGTACTTTTAATAAATTAGAGTTTATTCAGCTGATGTCACTAGTAGGAAATAGTGTCATCAGAAAACTTCCTGGCCACAAAGCAGCTTCTGTGTATTCTTTGCACAAATGTCACTATGACTTTTTTATTATTTTTGGTGTCACTCCTATCAGGACAGACTAAATGCTATTTATTACAGAAATTTCCTTTTGTAGTGTGGACTCCCTCATTTAATCACCAGGATATCTTTTGGTTCGTGAAGTGCATAGGCAGGTTGATGAACTTCCAGCTTGTGTGTCCACTGACTGTTTTTAAGGGTAGACTGCATATACACTTCTCCGCCTCACTTCTTAATACTATTTTTTTTTTCGGAGCTCTCAGGGCTAGTCTACTGGAAGAAACCACCTTTGTACCATTAGAACTGTGTATACTCTAGCATTTGTACTAATATATCAGTAAATAAATAACTAATATCATGCAGTTTACATCGGTACAAAAACTGTGTTTAGACCAGGCTAATAGCCTGGTCCTCCTTGCCAAAAAGGGCATGTAGTTGTTACCTGAGGTTAAGTAACACTCAGGCAGAAGCATAGCAGTGAAGACAAAGCAGGGCAGCTTTATCCTGAGATAACAGAGGTGTGACCAGGCAAGGCAGTGTGTGATACTAACGTGCCTTGTCTACACTCCTGCCTTGGTACAGCTTATGCAAGTTCAAGCAAACAAACAAAAATAACTCCTCCCCTCCCACCAGAAACAAAAACCAAACAGAGCTTTGCTGCAACACTTCCTCAGACCCTTGATATTTTGCCCCCTCAACTTTTGCAATGACCAGCACTCTATATAGTAGGTTTCCCACTAAGCTATTTTGAATAAGTGTGCCTTTTATCCCAACAAAAAAAAACTTGTATCAATTGATAATAACCCAGTTGCCTGTCTAGTTGGACGTTCCCTTTTATTTTGGTTATTTCTTTTTTCTGTGAAAGATTCTCTGGCTCCTCATGTAAATAGAAGCTGTTCAGAAGTACTAAACTTCAGGCTTCCTAGTTCACTCTCGTTCTAGACCTGCATGCGCCACAGGTAATATTTCTGAAAAACCTGCCTGCATCTTTAAATATCAATCGTCCACTAAGTTAAGATTTCACTTGCAGAACACATTTTTCCTACCTTTACCTTTATCCCTTCCTGTAACATAGTCTTAATCTTTTGGAGAGTTGTTATTAAAATATCATACTAAGCCAATTAAGCACCATAAAACCAGTGCAGGAAGTCAGCTAACCATGACATTTCTAGTATTGATCATGTAATGCCTGTGTGTACCATGAAACATGAAGCCAAAAGCAAGTGGCTCCAGGGAAAGTCAAAATTGCAGGGATTCCAACGGTTGTACTTTAGCAAGTTTTATTTATGTTAGTAATGTAGCAAAACTGGCTTGACCCCTGCAATTACACTATTTATTATACTCTGGCATTTACCAGACTAGTTCTTATTCCTAGTTTGCAATTATATTTCACCCTCATTATGAATTCCCCTGTTGTAATGCATCTATCTTGATACAGGTCCATTCCAGGACAGATCCCTCCTGTAATAAACAGCATTACAATTATCTGTGTGGTAAGTGCAGTCCCTTTCTACCTGCTACTTCTTAGCTCCCAGAATCCTGTTTAGGGAGGGCGGCAAGTAAGCATAGCCAGTTGTTTGTTTAATGAATCTGAGCCAAAAGATGTAGTTTGCCAAGTTTTATTATGCTGCGGGTGGCAAGCACTGACTGAGCCCAGACCTGGTATTTTTGTCTTCCCCTGGAGTTAAGGTGGAGGAGAGGGGAAAAAAAGTGTAGTTTCCTAATTAAGAAGTTGGAGTTTCCTCCTATTTAAATCGGAGGCAATAATTGTAATAGCAGCTAGATTGAGCCCCAAGTGATCTGTATTAGGAAGTCATCAAGTGATTTATGATAAAGTTATCCAGTACCAGTATGCAATCTCTACACCACTCAGAGCTGGAGTCTACCACCTTTAAGAGTAGTATGCTACTGAAATCAGGGGTCCTCCCAGGCTGAAGTACGGCTCCAGGAAAGCAAAGGTAGTAGAATTTATCCCTAAGATGGTAAACTCTTCAGGACACGGAACCTGTTTTTGTACTTTGACATGAAGCACCCAGCATGTGCTCCGTGCGATATAAATAAAATATCTCTTTCTCTTTTACATAGTAGGAAACTCTGTGCCCTTGTGCAACACTACAAATAGTGTATAAATGTAGTAACTAATCTTGAAGTTCAGGCCTATATAAGTTAATTTTAAAAAGCAGATCTCAAGGTACCAGGATTTTGCTGGGAACATTTCAGTGAAGTACAGAAGATACCAGGTTTTCTGGTCATTGTGTCTTTTACAGCAAAACTTCTGAGCGCCCAGAGGCCAGTAGAAGCCCCCCTCCCCTCCCCTCCCCTTTGAACTAGTTTTAAATCAATGCAGTTTTAGATCCCTGTGTATTTGTGAATGTTTCTGAGTTACTTTATAGCTTTTGAAAACCCACAAAGTAGGAGCGTTGTCCTATAGCCAGCGAGGTGGATAGGTTTTGCTTTTTGCCTTGGAGGGGGTGGTGGAGTGAATGATGGAAGGAGGAAAAGGTTTTTACAGGGTACTCACCACCAAAGGAATGGAGCAGATGAGCACTACCAGAGAGGTTGCAATAAGCAAAATGACCATCTGGATCTCTGCTCCAGCCATGCGACGAAAACTCCTGTGCCGGCGAACGTCGGACAAGCGGCTGGCCGTGTTGTCTGTCCCCAGGGAGGTGCGGCGCATGAACTGGCGGTGCATACGAATCAGGGCCACGCACACCAGGATGTTGCAGACCACAGTGACCATGATGAGAAAAGAGCTAAAGCCAGCGTACATGTAGGAGAAGGCGGCGTGGGTGGCCACCTTGGTCCGCCAGTCTATGAAACACCAAGTGCAGGGGTACTGCAGGGTGGATTTGCCCAGCCCCATGCTGGGCAGGGCGCAGAACAGCACGTTGGAAACATAGATGGCGAAGAGCGTGAGCCCCGCCAGCTTCTTATCCACATAGTGGTTGTAGAAATAAGCATGGTTGATGGCCAGGTACCTCTCGATGGACATGGCGCAGATGATGCTGAGGCCCGACAGGCCGAAGAAGAGGAGGATGAAGGAGCTGTACTCGCACAGGGCCGCCCCCCCGGGCCACTGGTTCTGCAGGTAGGTGGCGATGGTGACGGGGCTGACGAGGCAGGTGCCCAGCAGGTCGGTGATGGTCAGCCCGCACACCAGCGTGTAGAAGGTGGTCTCCTTCTGCTCCTTGCGGGACTTGCGCAGCACCACGATGGCGATGAGGTTGCCCACCACGCCGAAGATGAACATGACGGTGGGGATGGTGGGCGGCTTGCCGCCCTCGGGGCTGCCGCCCGTGCCGTTGCCCGAGCAGTTGCCCGTCGCGAAGGACATGGCGATCCCCGGCGGGAAACCTGCGGGAAGCCCCGCGCTCCTCGCCCCGGCCACGGCCATGTG